AAAAAAAAAAAAAAAAAAAAAAATTAGCCGGGCGTGATCAAGACTCCCTCTCAAAAAAAAAAGAAAAGAGTAGGAGCTGGGCATTAGCCAGGGGCTACGTGGTTCCTGGTGTTGAGGAAGTTCTCCAGGATTGAAAATGTAAAGATCAGACACTGATCACAGCAACAGGAGGAGGCAGAAAAGTAGGCCGGAAGTCATTTCCACCCTCTGAGCACAAAATGGAGAGCATAAATTCCCCAAAAGGTCCTGTCCAAGTCAAGGGGACTGCTCTTCTTGTTTTTTGAAACAGAGTCCCCTCTGTCGCCAGGCTGGAGTGCAGTGGTGTGATTTCCGCTCACGGCAACCTCCGCCTCCTGAGTTCAAGCGATTCTTCTGCCTCAGCCTTCTGAGTAGCTGGGACTACAGGCACGCACCACCATGCCCAGCTAAGTTTTGTTTGTTTTGTATATTTTTAGTAGAGACGGGGTTACACTATGTTAGCCAGGATGGTCTCGATCTGTTGACCTTGTGATCTGCCTTCCTCAGTCTCCCAAAGTGCTGGGATTACAGGTGTGCGCAACCACGCCCAGCCAGTTTTGAATTTTATTTTTATTATTTTTATTTTTTAGAGAGTCTTGTTCTGTCGCCCATGCTGGAGTGCAGTGGGGGCGATCTCGGCTCACTGCAACCTCCACCTCCTGGTTCAAGTGGATTCTCCTGCTTCAGCCTTCTGAGTAGCTGGGACTACAGGCACACGCCACAACACCCAGCTAATTTTTGTATTTTTAGTAGAGACAGAGTTTCACCATGTTGGCCAGGCCAGTCTGGAACTCCCAACCTCAAGTGATCTGCCCGCCTTGCCCTCCCAAAGTGCTAAGATTACAGATGTGAGCCACCGAGCCTGGCCCACAGTTTTGGACTTCATCATCCTGATAATCCTGAGTTCAAGGGGCAGCTCCACCATTCCCCAAGCCCTCCAAAACCTTCCCTCTCAAGCCCCTCAGACCCAGGATCAAGGGCTGGTTGGTATGGACCTGTGTGAGAGTTTTTTTTGTTGTTTTGTTTTTGTTTTTGTTTTTGAGACAGGGTCTCACTTTGTAGCTCAGGTTGGAATGCAGTGGCACAATCTCAGCTCAGCTCACTGCAACCTCTGCCTCTCAGGCTCAAGGGATCCTCCCATCTTAGCCCCTGGATTATAGGAACACCTGGCTAATTTTTTATTTTTTATTTTTTGAGAAGCAGTCTTGCTCTGTTGCCCAGGCTGGAGTGCAATGGTGCGATCTCGGCTCACTGCCACCTCCACCTCCTGGGTTCAAGTGATTCTTCTGCCCAGCCTCTGGAGTAGCTGAGGCTACAGGTGTGCACCACCATACCTGGCTAATTTTTTTGTATTTTTAGTAGAGATGGGGTTTCACCATATTGGCCAGGTTGGTCTCAAACTCCTGACCTCGTGATCCGCCGTTTTTTCTTTTTTTTCTTTTTTTTTCGAGATGAGTTTCGCTCATGTTCCCCAGGCTGGAGTGCAATGGTGCGATCTCCGCTCACTGCAACCTCTGCCTCCCGAGTTCAAGCAATTCTCCTGCCTCAGCCTCCTGAGCAGCTGGGATTACAGGCATGCACCACCATACCTGGCTAATTCTGTATTTTTAGTAGAGACGGGGTTTCTCCATATTGGTGAGGCTGGTCTGGAACTCGCGACCTCAGGTGATCTGCCCGCCTCAACCTCCCAAAGTGCTGGGATTATAGGCATGGGCCACCACGCACAGCCTAATTTTTGTATTTTTATTTTATTTTATTTTTATTTATTTATTTTTGAGATGGAGTCTCGCTCTGTTGCCCAGGCTAGAGTGCAATGGCGGGATCTCAGCTCACTGCAACCTCTACCTGCCGGGTTCAAGCGATTCTCCTGCCTCAGCCTCTTGAGTAGCTGGGATTACAGGCACCCACGACAGTGCCCAGCTAATTTTTGTATTTTTAGTAGAGATGGGGGTTTCTGCCATGTTGGCCAGGCTGGTTTCAAACTCCTGACCACAGGTGATCCGCCTGCCTCGGCTTTCCAAAGTGCTGGGATTACAAACTTGAGCCACTGCACCTGGCCCAGGCAGAGTACTTCTGACTTCAGGAAATGGATGAAATTATCAGAGCACTTAGGGGAAGGAGACAGTGTGGGGAAGAGATCTGGGAGGGTTCTCGTGGTTTGTTGATTTGGAAGACCAGAATCCTGGCTCTGACAAAGCAGTGTTCTTTACGCCTTTGTTTTCCTATCTTTAACTGGGGATAGTGCTGTCTGCTTACTGTGACAAGCAAGAGTAGCCACAGTAAACCCACCTGGAAGCAAATAGAAATGACTTGGGTCTTGCTGTCATCTAGTGAACAAATCAGGCATTGCATGAGTTATCTTTGGAATACATTGTAATACGCTTGTTCAACAAGCTTTTTTGTTTGTTTGTTTGTTTGTTTGAGACAGAGTCTCACTCAGTCACCCAGGCTGGAGTGCAGTGGCACCATCTTCACTCACTGCAACCTCCGCCTCCTGGGTTCAAGCAATTCTCCTGCCTCAGCCTCCCGAGTAGCTGGGATTACAAGCGCCCACCACCACTCTCGGCTAATTTTTGTATTTTTAGCAGAGACAGGGTTTCACCATGTTGGCCAGGCTGATCTCGAACTCCTGACCTCAGGTGATCCACCCGCCTCAGCCTACCAAAGTGCTGGGATTACAGGCGTGAGCCACCGCACTCATCTCAACAAGCATTTTTATTGCTGAGTAAATAATTTTATTGCTGAGTATATCCACTCCCTTGTGTGGATATACCATGAAATTATTTTTAAAAATATTGGCTGGGGGTCGAGCACAGTGGCTCACACCTGTAATCCCAGCACTTTGGGAGGCCGAGGCAGGCTGATCACGAGGTCAGGAGATCGAGACCATCCTGGCTAACGTGGCGAAACCCCAACTCTACTAGAAATATAAAAAATTAGCCGGGCGTGATGGCAGATGCCTGTAGTCCCAGCTACTGGGAAGGCTGAGGCAGGCGAATGATGTGTACCTGGGAGGTGGAGTTTGCAGTTAATTGAGATAGTGCCATTGCACTCCAGCCTTGGCGACAGAGCGCAACTCCGTCCCCCACTCCAAACAAAATTATATGTATATGGGCTGGGATAC